AGCAAACTAGGCGTTCATTGGTGTCCATGAAAAAAATTTGTTGAAGACCGTTTTTCAAGCAAATGTTCTTTTATGCAACCTTATGATATGCGTATGAACCAATGCAAAAGAAATAAGAAAAAGGTTAGTATACCCAGAAAAAGAACAAATAACTAAGTAATTTTACACATCACACATCACACAAAGTAAAAGGGATGAATCCTATGCTTTTGGTCAATTCTAAAAAGGAAGAGTGATAGCTCTATCTATAGGTTAGGCATTCTTAAGGTTCACTATATGTGGTTTTAGGGTCAAAGTCTAAAGGTCCTCAAATTGTTCCTTACATCCTTGTCCATCACAGACTAGTAAGGCACCCTAATCCTCACCCATTACAGGCTACAAGCGGAAAAGGTTCAATTTGAGTGGGAGTATTTCGCTAGCCACTGCGGAGGCATTAGACCTCACGAAAGCAATAGGTACTTTACTCCCTCCTAGAGGGACGGAGCTCGGGTATAGAGCTCATGTTATGCACATGCACATGAATGACATAATTAACAAGATAAATAAACAGGAATGAATAATAACACATATATACAAAAATGGTTCAATTTTATTAGGCTTTTGGATAACACAAATTATTTGCTGGCCTGACTCTCAAAGTCCCCAGTGGAGTCGCCAAGCTGTCGTAACGTCTAGATCCGGGGATCTATCGCTAGACATTGACTTTTAGGGAGTCGCCACCAATCTTTTTTATCTAGGTGCGATTGGCCACCTAAGGAATCTGTCCTTTCAGGGAACACCTAAGTTTAAGGGTCCCTAGAAGAATAGGTTCAGGTCTGCTAACCAGAACAGGGTTCGGGAGTTCGGTTACGTGTGAGGAAGGTTATAGCACCCTCACAACGCCCATCAAAAGATGGTACCAGCTTGAATTTGTGTTATCCAAAAGCCTTAAAATTTTACCAAGTAATTAATTGTTGAAAATTATTCTCAATTGACTCTAATACTTTTAGCAGAAAATTGAGAAAATTCCCTCACCTCAAGAGTATGCAAGAAAAACTACTGTTTCACTTACAGAGGCTCCGTCGTCGGATTATTTAAAGAAAAAAAAAAACAAAATCAAAATTAAGATAGAAAGGAATGAAAGAATGATTTTTTTTTGTAGGGAAAATTGATACTTTCAACTTTTCCCTAAAAATATTTTTTGAAAATTTCGATTTTCAAGGAAAATTGATACTTTCAACTTTTCCTCAAAAACCCCTTTTTTTTGAAAATTTATTTCTAAGGAAAATTGATACTTTCAACTTTTCCCCAAAAATATTTTTTTTGAAAATTTCGATTTTCAAGGAAAATTGATACTTTCAACTTTTCCTCAAAAACCCTTTTTTTGAAAATTTATTTCTAAGGAAAATTGATACTTTCAACTTTTCCCCAAAAATAGTTTTTGGAATTTTATTTCTAAGGAAAATTGATACTTTCAACTTTTCCCTAAAAATGTTTTTTTTGAAATTTATTTCTGAGGAAAATTGATACTTTCAACTTTTCCCCAAAAATATTTTTTGGAAATTTATTTCTAAGGAAAATTGATACTTTCAACTTTTCCCTAAAAATATATTTTTTTGGAATTTTTTATTTTTATTTAAAGAAAATAAAATAATAAAAAATAAATAAAAAGAATATTACATAAACCTAATCTAATAAATAAAAAATAAAATAAACAAATAAACAAAGAAAAAAAAAAAAAAAAAAAAAAAAAAACCTGGAGCGGCTCGGATCGCGGCTCGGCTCGGCTCAAGGAGGAAAACGGCTCGGGGGGAGCGGCTTGGCGGCTTGGCTCGGCTCGGCTCGGCTCGGAGGGGGCTGGCACGCGCGGGTCAGAAAGCGGGTCGACGCCCGGGTCGGGTCGGGTTGCGGCAAAACGCGCGGATCCTCTGGGTTACTTAAGGCCAAAACGACGTCGTTTTGGGAGGGTATAAAAGGCACCTTCCTCCGTTTTTCGGCAGAACGCTCCTCCCCCTCTCTCTCTCTTCTTCCTTTTTCTCTCCCTTCTCTCTAGAAACCGAAGAACACCGGTGCCGGATTCTGGAAATTTTCGTCGGAATCTGGAAATTTCACCGGAAGTTGGCCGGAAAGTCGCCGGTTTCTGGGATTCTTCGCCGGAAACTGGGCAGGTCGCCGGAAACTTCAATGTTGGCCGGAATTTTCGCCGGAAAATTCAAACTTCGCCGGAATTTTCGCCGGAATCTGGAAATTTCCCAGAAATTTCCAGAAAAAATTTTCGCCAAAAATTTCTAAAAATTTTTTCTCACTCCCAGAACACTCCTAAACTTTTTCTAACTTCCTATACGCCTCCTTTTCTCTCAAATCAGTAGCTTTGCTTACTGTTTTCTGTGTTCCTTGCATTCTGTTCCAGAGTCCCTTTTATAGGGATTGATCAGGAGTTCCTGATCAATCCCAATTCCTCCTTGGACGGGAATTCAATCTTTGAATCCCACTGGACTCTTCTGATTGAATTCCCATTTCCAATGGGATTCTTCAGCCTTCAATCTCAGCCCTCCAAAATTAAAATCAAAATAAATAAAAAATACTAGATAATTAGAAAAGATAAATCAAAAGATATTATAAAAAAAATATCTGATAATCAGGAAAAATCAGAACAGATAAAAAAATAATAATAAATATATAACTATATACATATAAATCTAATCTAATAAAAAATAAATAAATAAATAAATATATACATAATAATAAAATACATAAAATACAAAATAATACAGGACAAATTGAATTGGGCCCTACCCATTTGGGCCAGGCCCAATTGATCTGGGCCGGACCCAATTGGGTGTCTACATACTTTTTACTTTTATTTTGTTTTATATTCTTTAAATAAAAATCAAAAAAATATTTTTGAGGAAAAGTTGAAAGTATCAATTTTCCTTAGAAATAAATTTTCAAAAAGTATTTTTGGAGAAAAGTTGAAAGTATCAATTTTCCTTAAAAATAAATTTTCAAAAAAGGGATTTTTGAGGAAAAGTTGAAAGTATCAATTTTCCTTAGAAATAAATTTCCAAAAAATATTTTTGGAGAAAAGTTGAAAGTATCAATTTTTCTTAAAAATAAATTTTCAAAAAAAAAGATTTTGAGGAAAAGTTGAAAGTATCAATTTTCTTTGGAAATCAAAGTTTCAAAAAAATATATTTTTGAGAAAAAGTTGAAAGTATCAATTTTCCTTAGAAATAAATTTAAAAAAATATATTTTTGGGGAAAAGTTGAAAGTATCAATTTTCCTTAAAAAATAAATTTCAAAAAAATAATTTTTGGGAAAAGTTGAAAGTATCAATTTTTCCTACACAAGAACAATCATCGTTTCCTTCCTTTCTATTTTGATTTTGATTTTGATTTTTCTTTAATTAATCCGACGACGGAGCCTCTGCAAGTGAAACAGTAGTTTCTCTTGCATACTCTTGAGGTGAGGGAATTTTCTCAATTTTCTGCTTAAAGTATTAGAGTCAATTGAGAATAATTTTCAATAATTAATTACTTGATAAAATTTTAAGGCTCATTGGATAACACAAATTTTTCTACACTCATCCCTTATGCAAATTTTTTCTCGCACATAAATGTGAGCTTAGTTACTGTTATCAATGAATTTTGATATGACTGATTCAATAGGGGAGCAAATTTTTTGTCCGGGTAAAGTTAAGGAAATTGAGTTTTTTTTTATAAAAAAAACAAAGTTGGTTTGATGATGGATTAATGATGCTTTATCTAGATCCACCTTAATGTATATATAAAAGTATATATTATCTATAATATCTCCAATGAGCTATTTTTTCATTTTTTATTTTTTGTTTTTTTATCATTTTTTTTAATTTTATCTTTAGTTTTTATATTTTTATTAGATAAATTTTGTGAGAAAAAAGGTCAATTTGAAGTATCCACGTGTTAATTCCATTTGATTTTTTTACCTTTTGTCTTTTTTTAATTAGGTAAATTTTACAAAAAAACGATGGCATAAAAATCATTTTTAATTTAATTTTTAAAAACTTATAGCAAGATAATAACTATTAAAATAAATTATAATTATTTTAAATAATTTAAAAATATTTAATTTAAATAATAAAAAAGTGGAACTCGTGATATTGCAGGAGCTTATTCCTAGTTCATTTAACAGTTGTTCCCGAGTTATGATAAAAGAAAAAAAAAAAAAGCTTTAAGGCAGAGACAATGGAGAAAGCCTGAGAAAAGATGAAAAGGTAACTGACATTATATAACAACGTTCTTGGAACAATTTGAAGAAAGAAAACGTGATGACAGATAGGAATGGCAAAGGAGTGAATATTCGTTATTTTTTAGATATTTATATCTAAATTTATTTAATATTTATAATATCCAAATCCGTTTAGATATCCGATTAAGTTTAATATTATTATCCAAATCCGAATCGATTTAAATATTCAAATTTGTTGAAATATTCGTTTATTTAAAATTTTTGAAAAAATATAAAATAAATAAGAATATAATTTAAAATTCAAGTTCACTCTTAATTAACAATAAGTAAATGTTATTTTTTAAGGTCTGAAACATTCTACAGGTATAAAATTTTATATATTTTACATATGTAAATAGGTAATAGATTCAGATACTGATTCGGATACCTATTATTATTCATTAAAATTTATATAGATTCAAATATTAAATATCCAAATAATACTATTCATATTTGCACCGAATCTATCACGGATAATAAATCTTTTATCCGAATCAATTAATTATCCATTTATAACTATATAAATTTGACATAAATAAATCAGATAATGACAGATATCCATTTATTTACTATTTATTATCATCCCTATCAATAGAGAAAGTCACTATACAAGATGGATACCATTTGCATAATACTGAAGATCCTTTGTAATCTCCTTATTTCGATCCATATGACGTCCAAATATCTCCAGGAATCAGTTCGTCGAGGAATATTTGTATATGTATTCTGGTATGACATCAACATATATATATATATATAGCTACCTTAATTATTTTCCCCAATTGGGTAGGCCTCGATAATGGAGGGCAAAGCAGGAATGTTGATGATTTTGTAACGAGGGAAGCCTCCTTCCTTCAATATTTTCTTCCATTCAAGTTCAGTCCTTTCTTTTCCACCAGAGCAATGTGCAAGCATCAGAAGATCGAATATCAGCCTCACATCGTCAAAGAGGCCACTACCATCTGGTTGCAAAACGCATTCCACTAAAATGACTTTCCCTGTTTCTGCTGGAATTGCATTTCTGCAGTTTTTTAAAATTTTGATGCAATCTTCGTCGCTCCAATCATGCAATATAAACTACACACATACATATATAAAAAGGAATTAATTAAGTTTGCTTAATTATGATCATATTCTTGCTTCCCTGTGAACTTCATTTTTTTATTAAAATAACTATTTTTATCTGAAGTGCCAAAAGGATTTGCAATCAGAAAGTTCAGTTTCATTTGTTCCTATTTAATTTTCGCCGAATTTAAGAAAAATTTAATTTTATTGTATATATTCAAAAAAGAAAAAATACCATAATTAATGGATAAAAAAATCTCTTGAATTATTTTATTTTTTAAAATAAATTTTTATATTTTTATTATACTTAAATAAAATTTTGTTGTTTGATTCAAATCTAAATAAATTATTTTAAACAAAAATTCAATTCATGTTAAAAGCTTATTTAGATATAAATTAAAAGATAAGGATTTATTTGACTGTAAATTAAAATTAAATATTTATTTGAGTAAAAATTAAAAGTTAAAAGCTTATTTAAATGTAATAAAATTATAAAAATTTATCTAAGTAAAATGGTGAAATTTAAAAGTTTTTTTTTATTTTCACCCAAAAAAAAAAGAAAGGATAGTATAATTAACATTTATCCAACTTTCCTCCACATAGCTATTAGACAAGGATAAATTATGCTTAAGAAAGAAAAGCATTTTATTCAATTTAATTATTATTAGATAGAATTCAAAGAAAATAGTGTTATGTTTGTTAGGGATCACTACAACTTTGATATCATTGTTAGGCCAAATGATCTCAATCCAATCAAACGAATGAAAGCGAAATCAAACAATTAATCAATCACACAAGAGACAACAATTTAACATGATTCGAACCAACTGACCTACATTTATGAATGAAAAATAAGATTCATTAGTTGTAAATTATTATAAACATATAATCAAATCAAACACTTATAACTAATATCCATATATTATCTCAATCTTCTCTAATCTTATGAAGTATTTTCAACCCAAATAAAGATATACTCATGTGCATCTTTTTAACACAAAACAAATACATATAATATACACCCATGCATCATACTTATATAGACCATCTTAGTCTCCTCTAGATCATCTTAATCTCCTATAGTCCACTTACAAATATTTAAATATATATGCCCATAAGACGTAATACTCCTATAGGGTGTCTATCTTATAAAATCCTATAATTTTTTTATATCTTTTTCTCATACTTAACCCTATAAAAACTTTATCTATTTATAAGTAAACAAATTTGCTATCAATAATATTTTTTCTCTTAATTTTTTTTTTTTTTGTAAATTTTTTATCCATCAAGTAATATCTAACCAATCCCAAATAAATCTCTTATAAGATTTTAGTCACTATTCTCAGTAATGTTGTCATTAGTTTTTGACTTGACTAATATTATACGAAGTCTTTATGTGAAATTTATGGAGTTTTATTTTTTTAAAAATTAACAGAAGTTTTAATAAAAAATTCAAACCAATAGATTGATATAGTTTAATGTGAAAATCAATAATATGTAAAAAAAATTACTAAAAATATTGTTTATAATTTAAATTTGATTGATACTTACTTAACGATAAAAATTTTATCAATATTTTTATTAAAAATATCTATCTAAAAATATATATCAAAATTTATTAAAATATTTTTAAATTTTACACACTTAATCTATGTAACAAGATTTTTTTAGTTTATCACTTTTGATTTTTTATTTTAATTTTTATTTATTTGATTTTAATAAAAAATTTCACAAAAATTTACCTACAAACTCGGCGTGAGTATTTCCCATTCAACAATTAAAGACGATTTCTAGATAAATCATGTCAACAACAGTTTATACCTAACAAAGAAGAAATGTCAATGTAATTCTAATAAAATATTAGAAACTCGTTTGTGTCAAAAAAAAGATTAGAAACTCGTTTAACAGGTCTTACCTTCATGATAACTGCATCAGCTTTAGGAATGGACTCAAACATATCACCTCCAATGTGGCAGACCCCAGGGTATGTTGGTGCTTTCTCGATGACGTGTGGCAAATCGAAGTTAGTCCCTTTGATGTGCGGATATGCTTTCACAATCTCAAACACCAAGCCTCCTGTCCCACCTCCGACGTCAACCAATGATCCTATGGAGCTGAAACCTTCTTTACAGCCTGATAGAATTTCTCTGGTCATCACTTTGGATGTACTGGTCATGGCATCGTTAAAAAGATCGTTGAATTGAGGATTTCCTGATGCAAACTCAAACATCTCACATCCATGAGCCATCTTGAAAGCAGTGCCACCTTCTCTAACACATTGGCTAAAGTAGTGCCAGGGAGCCATTTGCCACGGATGGTTCTCCATAAGTATCATGGGTGCCAGGCTTAGCTCCGAGTCATGTAGGAGCCATCTTGATGAGTGAGTCAGGCCATAGAGGGGCTCTCCACCGTCGGAAGGATGATGGACAGTGAAAAGCTTTCTCCGGACGAGCAATCTCATGATGCGAGCGAGGCAGGTAATATCCGGAGAAGTAGCGCCATCAATACGTGAAGCTATTTGTGCCAAAGTGACTGGCCCATCGTGAGAGTGTATTATATCAGCTATGCGGAGTTCCACAACAGACTTAAGTGCCATAGAATCTGCGAAGCTGTACATGAATTGCCATATTGTGGCTTGGCTTTGTAGCATCGCCTCAGCTTCTTTCGATTCCATTTAATTCGAGATATCCTTTTCCAAGAGTCTGATTCTTAATTCTAATGCGAAGTTGGTGTAGAGAAAGAGAACTAGGAGAAGTTGCAGAACGATGGAAGATAGCTGGGAAGTCTAGTAGAAATTAAAGAAGAAGACCAAGAGACCTAAGCTGGCCCGGATAACCACTTTGTTCGGTTACGGGTTAGACGTTTAATTTTGAAGGGGTTAAAGTAATATTTTATAATAAATTTTAAAAATATATTAAATCTATTAATAATAAAAAATAGATACAGACATATAATAATAAAATAACAAAATTTATAATTATAAGTATGTTAATATGTAAATATATATAACAAAATAAATATATTAAATAAGTGATCTCATGATTTTTAATTATAAATCATTAATAATATTTTTTATAAAAATAAAATTATTGCATTTTTTTTACAATATTAATATATTATTTTATCATATTTAATATTTAAGATATTAAGGTAAAAAAATCTCAAAAATATATTTTTAAACAAAAATTAAATTTTAAAACAATAAAATAAAAAACTTTGATGCAATAAATTGAAACTTTTTAATTTTTTACTTGATATTTTTACATTATAAAAATAAAAAGATATTTAAATTAATCATATTAACTATTTTGACATGTAATAATTTTTAAATAAAATGAGCAAGCATATAATAAAAAATTACTTGAAAAAAAATCATAATTGAATATTTGTCAAGTCAATTTTAGTTATTATAATACTTGCATATATATTAATTTTAAATTTACATATTTGTAAAAATATAATATTAACAATTTTATTCATTTTAAATTAAAAATCATTTGTAATAAATAAACACAAGTTTAAAAATTATAATTTTTTTAAATTAAGAGTTTTAATATTTAAATATTAATAATTTTTGTAATTATATGTCTAATATAAATACATAAAATAAAAAATAATTTATATCAATACAATAAATTAAGTTTGAAAGAGTCAAATTAATTTTTTTATTAAAAAGATTTAAAATTATTACAAAAATCAGTTATGTATAAATAATTTCAACATGGTCCCCTAAGCTCCTTGAAAGATCCACTATTGACTTTGTTTACATTACCCAGTTTGATTTTTTTTTTTAAAATAATGTTTGGGTCTCTTTCCTAGAAAATCAAGTTTAAATTTAAATTATTATTTTCCTCTCGCGTTGTTGAAAAAAAAATGAGTGGTGGATTTGGAATCCTATCATGTCAATTGTCAATTTCGTGTACATAATCATTATTGATTTAGTGGAATAAAAAATTAAAGGAAAAATCTTTTACAAACTTCTTTGTTAATTTTAACTCAAGAATAGTGTTTTGTTGGATGGAATCGAACGGAATCAATGAATGAATATTATTATGATTGCGATTAATTTGTTTATATTCGATAAAAAATATTTACATTATTTTTTAGTTTAGTTCATTTAGATATTAAAATGTTAAAATATAATTTGAGATTGATTCGTTTAAGTTAAATAAATTTAAATAAATATATTTATAAATATTAAATAAATAATTTCATGAATATATAAATAAATTAATTTTCAACATGTGCATTTTATCTTTAAAATTTTAATTTAATAAATAACTTGGATACTATAATAATAATAATGAAAATATTAATAATTTAATTTTAATTTTGATATAATATATGTAAAATTTCATAATTTTTTATGTAATTTTGATTTTGATAACTTTTATTAAAAATTTGATAAAATTTTAATAACTTTTAATATGTTTTTAATAACCTTTTATGTTAGTTTGACAGTTAATTATGATATAAGTTGTAATTGTTACAACGTATAGATTCGTAGACTTACTGCTAGATATAAATTAAATGAATTGTTATTAATTTTTTATTTAAGTATAATTGGTCACTTAACAAAATCTTTCATATTTAAAGAGAAGTTCTAAGATTGACTTAGGTATATTTAAATAATATATTTTAATTCACAAAATTAGATTTTAGATTTGAAAGTGCAGTTACGCATTAAAAATGTCATAGCACTTTCACAGTGTCCATCCAAAAGATGGTATTAGTTTAATTTTAAATTATCCTAACTTTGGCCATATTTATTATTTACCAAAATACTTAAAATTAAAAATTAATCTTCAAATTATTCTAATAGTATGGTAGTAATTTAAGGTAATTTTTTTAACTCAAGAGTATTCATGAAGACTAGTGTCTCACTCTGAAGAAGTTTTATCGTCAGATTTATTAATATATTTTATCTAGTAAAAATAATTAGTTAAATCCTTCAATAGTTTAATAAGGTTTACTTTGATGCACATCTCCCAATAGTTTGGTGAGATTTTATTGTAAAATATTTATAAAATTTTATTTTTGAGAAAACTCATTAAATCTTTCAATAGTTTGGTAAGATTTAACTTAAAATGCAATACTGCAATAGTTTAGCATAATAAAATACAAAATTTTTATTTAAAAAATTATTTTTCTTTTGAAAATTAATTTATAAAATTTTTTAATAGTTTTGGTAGATTCCATAAAATTTAAATTCATGAAAAATTCTCTAAATAAAAGGAATTTTACAAAAAATATTTTAAAAGTAATAAATTACTCAATTTAAAATTAATAAAATAAAATAAAAATGACATAAAAAGAAAAAGGAAAAAAACTTCAAAAAAAATCCAAAAAAGAAAATAAAAAAACAAACCTACGATCGGGTATAGTCAAACACACATGTCGTGCATGGGTCAACAAGTTGACGCTCGAATCTTGGAAACTGCATCCTTTAGTGTAGGTATAAGAGCCAACTCCCTCAGCTTTTCTTCAAAAACCTTCGATCCCCTCTCTCTATAGAAAAATTTCCTCTACCTTCTCTCAAGAAAATCCTAGAACCAATAGTTGAAAACTAGGTTTGATCATCGATTTCTGAAAAACTGGCTGGAATCTGGCTGAAAAATTTAAACTCCACCAAAAAATTCAACTGAAAAGTTCAAACATTCAACTCGAACCTATATTTTTTTCAAATTTTTTTAGATTTTTCCAGAAATTCAACCTAAACCAAAAAAATTAAAACTCAGAAACTCAAAACTTCAATCCTAACCTAGAAATTCAAATATAGAATCCTAGAAACATCAGATCCAAAAACTTTAAACCCAGAAATTCAAATCCCAGAGATTTCCCCCAAAAATCCACTATGTCTTTTCTTCTGATCATGTGCCCAATTTATAGCTAGCCTTAGTAGAAATTTTAGGGATTAAACAGAACCAATCCAAGCTTAAATCCTAAGATTGGATTCTATCTACCATGATATTAGGCCTAAGTTTTTGCCAACTTGTCCGATACCTAAGTTTTTGCCAATTTGTTCGATATGACTCAACCTTGAATTAAAATCCTTTTATTCTGTTTTGGATTAAAACCTTTGATTCAATTTCCCTTTTTTTGATTCAATTAAAGAAGAAGACCAACAAACCTAAGCTACCCCGGATAACCACTTTGTTCAGTTACAGGTTAAACGTTTAATTTTGAAGGGGTTAAAGTAATATTTTATAATAATTTTTAAAAATATATTAAATCTATTAATAATAAAAAATAGATGCAAACGTATAATAACAAAATAACAAAATTTATAATTATAAGTATGTTAATATGTAAATATATATAACAAAATGAATATATTAAATAGTTGATCTCATGATTTTTAATTATAAATCATTAATAATATTTTTTATAAAAATAAAATTATTATATATTTTTTACAATATTAATATATTATTTTATCATATTTAATATTTAAGATATTAAGGTAAAAAAATCACAAAGATATATTTTTAAATAAAAATTAAATTTTAAAAAAATAAAATAAAAAACTTTGATGCAATAAATTGAAACTTTTTAATTTTTTACTTGGTATTTTTACATTATAAAAATAAAAAGATATTTAAATTAATCATATTGATTATTTTGACATGTAATAATTTTTAAATAAAATGAGCAAGCATATAGTAAAAAATTACTTGAAAAAAAATCATAATTGAATATTTGTCAAGTCAATTTTAGTTATTATAATACTTTCATATATATTAATTTTAAATTTACATATTTGTAAAAATATAATATTAACAATTTTATTCATTTTAAATTAAAAATCATTTGTAATAAATAAACACAAGTTTAAAAATTATAATTTTTTTAAATTAAAAGTTGTAATATTTAAATATTAATCATTTTTGTAATTATATGTCTAATTAAATACATAAAATAAAAAATAATTTATATCAATACAATAAATTAAGTTTGAAAGAGTCAAATTAATTTTTTTTAAAAAGATTTAAAATTATTACAAAAATCAGTTATGTATAAAATAATTTCAAAATGGTCCCTAAGCTCCTTGAAAGATCCACTATTGACTTTGTTTACATTACCCAGTTTGATTTTTTTTTTTTTAAATAATGTTTGGGTCTCTTTCCTAGAAAATCATGTTTAAATTTAAATTATTATTTTCCTCTCGCGTTGTTGAAAAAAAATGAGTGGTGGATTTGGAATCCTATCATGTCAATTGTCAATTTCGTGTACATAATCATTATTGATTTAGTGGAATAAAAAATTAAAGGAAAAATCTTTTACAAACTTCTTTGTTAATTTTAACTCAAGAATAGTGTTTTGTTGGATGGAATCGAACGGAATCAATGAATGAATATTATTATGATTGCGATTAATTTGTTTATATTCGATAAAAAATATTTACATTATTTTTTAGTTTAGTTCATTTAAATATTAAAATGTTAAAATATAATTTGAGATTGATTCGTTTAAGTTAAATAAATTTAAATAAATATATTTATAAATATTAAATAAATAATTTCATGAATATATAAATAAATTAATTTTCAACATGTGCATTTTATCTTTAAAAATTTAATTTAATAAATAACTTGGATACTATAATAATAATAATAATAATAATGAAAATATTAATAATTTAATTTTAATTTTGATATAAAATAAGTAAAATTTCATAATTTTTTATGTAATTTTTATTTTGATAACTTTTATTAAAATTTGGATAAAATTTTAATAACTTTCAATATATTTTTAATAACCTTTTATGTTAGTTTGATAGTTAATTATGATATAAGTTGTAATTGTTAAAACATATATATTCGTAGA